ACATCAAAATAGACATCCATACACCATTCGATAGAGAATTTCAAGGGCTACATTTTGCACTAGTTACATTAAAGAAATGAGCCACTTTAATTTTTCGCCTAATGTCCGCCTGGATGCCCACTGTGTGTTACAGCTACTGACAAAAAACCCTCTGCAAACCATAAAAATCCTCATATATAAACTTTATACTTCAACTCCACAAATTGTTCCGTTTACAATTCCAGCCAGACTTCCAAGGGAAAACTGACGATAATAGCACGAATTAGTAGGAATATGTAACTTTGATAATAATCTCACTGTTGTAAATACTTTCATTTTGTGTGACTAAGCACGTTAAACAACGCTGATAAGAAGAAGGTAATCTCAACGAAAATATTTATTTCTGTTCTTTTTGTATTTGTGAATATAATGCATTTTAACTTTGGTGAGTGTGAAAATATGATAATAAAGAATTTTTTGCTTCCTGTGAAGTTTATGCAAAAGACTTGCTGTTCCATATAAAGAAATAAACAGATTTAGATAAAATAGCGTTGAATTGCCAAACTTCCTCCAGTTTCGACTTCACAAAACGTGTAAAAGTATTCTAGGTCGACGACGCGAGTCGCTTGCAACCTGTTTCCAAACCTGGTCTATTAAAAATTGGATGCTAACGCATTGTAGTTTGCAGTTAATCTTCTTTTGAAAATTCAAAAATTTTAAAAGAGTCCAAGTAGTAAAAGCTACCCTCAGACTTGTCATAAAAAGGTCAGTGTGACCTAATAATAAGGTCTAAGTTACTTAGGAACTACGCTTAATTAGCATAAATGATATAATGAACTGTTTGAAATGGTGGCAGCAAACTAAATTCTTTTCCACCGCCAGTGACTCCAGTTTGTCCATTTATCGAGTGACCATGATCTCCAGCTGAATTGATTGAAATATACGTTCGTCCAGTAGGTATTGTGTGCTGATGTGTTCCTACTCCTATACTTGCTCCTGTATTTGCTATGTACCAGTTTCCATTTGAACTCAGAAAGCCAGCACTGTCAGTTAGTCCACCATGATTATGTCCTGGGTCGTTAACAGAATGCGTATGACTGCCACTTGTTAATGCTGTAAGTGATCCCTGATTGTGTACATGTGCTGGAAGGTTATCTATTGTCAGAATTTGGGTTACGTTCCCACCTGTCATCCCAATTTCATTCGCTGTGTTAATACGTAGGCCTACTCCATCAACGCCCATTGTTACTCGACCTCTAAAATCTGTAAATTAAACGTGTAGACACCATCACCAGATCCGTATCTGTCACTGATAACCGCAAACAGACGTTGATAAACGATTCTCGATAGTTCAGAGCCATTACACAGAAGCCAAGGTGAAGGCGGTTGGTCACTTCCGGCGTACATCTGAATTGCACCTGTTGCAAACTTCTTTTCTTCGTGATGTTGGCCTGCATTTCCTTCAGCTGTGACGGTTGGCGTGTTCATTGTACTGATTGTTCTTATAATTGCACTTTGATTTTTATCAACAATCAGCTGTTTAGCCATAACACCAACTTCCAAACGATCGGAGATATCTGTAAGACGATAGACGTCGAAAGACTTTGGTTCCCATGTTTTACCAGTTTTCTCTATTTCAATACCCTGCTTCAATAGTGCTTCTCGTATTTCAGATCTTGAATAGGCTCGACGATCAATCTGTCGTGTTGTATTGGTAGAGCTCTGTTGTGTTTGAGACGACGTATCCAGACCAACATTAAAAAAAGCACCTATAGCTTCGAAGATTGCTCCAAAGCCATAATTCAAGCTCAAACTATTACTTGCTGCTGAGGACTGTGCAAAATGTGTCATCAAATCATAGTACATATCAGAAGAGCCGTGTTCTTTCGTGGCTGTTTCATTATAGACGAACATTTTATTTAATTCCGATTCTATCAGATCAGGTTTTAAATCATTAGCTGACCACACTTGTTCAAAGGCTTTTGTATCTAATGAAATTTGTTTTGCTTCATCCATAGCTAGAGCACAGAAATTCATAAGTGAACCGGAGAGAAAATTTTTTCTAAACATCATACCTTGTTGCAATAACGATATAAATGTATCTTCCAGACCACTAGTAAGTGATTCACTATTTGGAACTTCCGCTTCTTGATAGATCATTTTCTTTACATTCGTTACATAGTGACTAACATATTTTGTTGTCTGACTACGGTGTATATATTTTGCTTTTGTATTACCACCATCAGCTGCCGTTCTACTTCCAACACTTTTCAATTGATCAGCCGTAATCGAAACAAAATTTGTCGATGTACGCTTGAAACCATCAAAATAGAATGCAATTTCAATTTCATATTCACCACTTCTTACTAGATCAACAATTTCCACTGCATTTGCTTCGGTCGTACATGGAAAACGAAAGATCATGGTCATAGAATTTGGATGAATAGCACGATAAGGTTGTACTCCGGCAATTGGTGAACTACTACTTTTGACAACATAAGCTGTGAGAGAATCAATCATCAACGGCAGAATATCCCAATATTTTGAGTATTCACTGGTTTTTAAATCAAACTTTTTAATAATTGCTTTTCGTGCTAAATCTTCAATTTCATTATTACCTAACATCACTTTAACACGTACATCATCTTTAGCTGACCAAACCCAGGGATCATCATTTTCACTGATGCTGTGTACTAGTGCCATCACAGGAACATAATAAAAGATCCATTTGTGTGGTGTTAACTTATTATCAGCTTCATTTGAGATTGAATTGTAAACATAAATTTGACTGCCATTGTAATTGAATGCCGTGAGAATGTTGGTGTTAACAACACCAGCAGCAAAACTACGAGTTGTAGGAGTAACGAAAGCAGGTTGTTCTTTTATTTCTATGGCGTCCAAGACAAAAGTAGTGTTGAGCAGTGCAGTTTCGTTTGAAATAGATAGACTTGCTCTAGCTGACAACAGAAACAACAAGAGAAGCAACATCTTGCTAGTATCGAAAACTAATACACTTATTCACAAATTTTCTATATTTATATCAGAAAAAACCTCTTATTTGTAATACATTTATCTGTATCGTTCGAATAAATATTTTTTCAGTTATATACAAATTCATTCTTGTGAATTTCTGAGTTTACATAGAAAATATTTTTCTTAAGTAATCCTAGTAATATCAGTTTATAAAACTGAAACTCATGCTTTCGATCTGAGGCCATAGATACTGGAAGTCATGCTTTCGTTCTGAGGTCATAGATACTGAAAGTCATGCTTTCGTTCTGAGGTCATAGACACAGAAAATGAGTTCACACAACTAAAGTAGCAATGAAATTCGAAACTTATTTATTCTACTGTGTACATATTTGAAACTTGTCTAATCCCTAAGTCACTTTGAAACAGATATTTTTTTTTGTTTTTCTTTTGTTTTCAGAACGCAGGATTGAAATAAAATAAATATGATTTTAAGATTCAGTTATTGTGTATCCGCAGACTTCATTTTCTAATCAGATCATGTCAGCGGCTGGAACCGACAATGTTTCAAGAACTTACTAGACTTTATGCACTTTCATCCATTTATTTATTCTTCAGTTTTCTCTGTTTTCTTCAGTTCAAAATAAATAAATGTAATACCGACGAACAAACAAAAAAATACATCATTTCGAGAGACAGGCAACTGTTCAACAAACACACACAAAAAAAAACGTGAGGTCAAATCTACACATGGGTGGATTCAGTTTTCAATGTTGAATCTGAATATTTCAACCGCAGAGCTCTATGACGTTTCATGGCGAAACTATAGAGCTTTTTCTAAAAACGCCTGTTTTTCTGCTTTGCGGATCATCTCAAGTTTTCTCGATTTTTCGACGGGAAAAAAGATCACATATTCATGATCGCCGTTGGATTCTCTGTCTATGGTGTATAAAGCAACGAAATCTATTTTTAACTGCAAATGTGCCTTATCGGCATCTTACTTATGTCTTCTTCGTACTCTGATATTTTTACTAATTCTAAAATATTTTGTTATCTTCTCGTAAAATTCTTCAGTTTTTATGATTTTCCGCAAGTTAACGTCGAGTGTGTTCCAAATTTCGGTGATTCTTGGAAAGAAAGCGGACTGATGATTAGTTGTTTTTCCGAATATTTATTTTACTTTATACAAATTATTAGATCGAGTGTGATAATTTTGATTGTGTATCGGTTGAATGTATTTACATAAAAATGTCGGCGCTTGATGTTTGACAATCTTATGCATTAGTTTTAGATGAAAGATGTTAAACGTATTTTCGTAAGTTGTCCATCCTAAAATATCTCGAACTTTATGGTGAATTGTAACTGATCGAAAATACGCATATTATCTTTATTTACATACACACAACATGCATAAGTTATTATTGGAAATATGTATGATTTATACATTTGATTGAGTGTCGATGTGGTGAATGTTCTCTTGAATATTTTCATTAAGCTGAACACTTTTTCACATTTTGATGAAACATATTCCTGAGAAGATTTTCAGTCCGGATTTTTAGTGAGAAAAACTCCTAGATGTTTGTGTTTTTTGACTTTTAAAACAACTTTGTTTATCTCTACTTCTGGCGGTGTTCTATTATAATTAAACGTCATACATTCACATTTATTCTCATCAAGGGTAAGTGCCACTCATGAATTTTATCTAAATCGCTATTAAGTTCTGCTGTTAACTTATTAATATTCTTTCCTGAATGATGTAAAACTATGTCGTCTGTGAATAAACGTGTACTTGATGTTAAAGTATGACTTATATCGTTAATGTAAATTAAAAATAACAAAGGGCCGAGCACGCTGCCCAGAGTCACGCCTCGATTGATCGGTAATGATGCTGACTGCTTTCCGTTCACAACTGTTATTGTTTTCCTATCTTTCCATTTTTACACCAACCGTTGTATCCGTTTCTTTGTTTATATTACAATTCATTTTATATTATTTCACTCTATCTTAATACATGCTGGTTCAATATTGTCATATAAAATTGAAACTTTAAATTTAGTTTTGAAGTTTAATAAAAACTTGAAAATCGCTTTTGGCTCAAAAACCAGTGAATAATAGTTTATCAACCGTGGTGATTCCAAATATAACCATGATTTTTGCCGCTAGGTTTTCAAGGCTCGGTTTCTAGAAAACTAGTTTTCTAGAAGCTCCAAAAGACCTCTGAAACTTTTTCTTAATAAGTTGCGTTTGTAGCTCGCGAAATTCTGATCAAAATGAGACATCTCCCAGCTATACACGACCTTTCTTTGCGAAGTTATAGAATTTACAACAAAAGCCCTGAATGTTCATAGCCAGCTCAGAGATGGCGATGATCAGTCTGGCCGGAAGACCTTTTGGGGCATCCGGGAGAATTGCTATAAATCAGTTATCACGATTCTCTCAGAGCTGTAAAACATTCTACTTTTGTAGAAAAATGTTTGCTCTACAAAA